TTTTTCACATTCTGTCTCTCACAGTTGAAGTGTACCTCTGGTGCAAATTACTGACCTCTGTCATCATTTTAAGTGGGGGAACTTGCACAATCGGTGGCTCACTAAATACTTTTTTGCCCCACTGTAACTGAGAGCCATGCTGGGCTCAGACTCTGCTGACCGTCTGTCCCGCGGTCATGCAGGGACTTCATCAAGCTTGGTTGTCTGTTCTTTGTGTGTTTGATTAATACAGTTTGTCAAAATGAAAACATGACTGTAGATTCAGACATGTGAGGCTGTGCTGATGAGACCTAACAAGGGAAATAAACAGTTTTAAAGGTGAACTGTGGACAACGGCCAATTCTACCCTGGAGCCCAGAGGGTTACACGTTATTTTTTAAAGTAACGCAATAGTTACTTAATTACTAGTAATTAATTACTTTTAGAATCTTGTAACTCAGTTACTAACTCAGTTACTTTTTTAAAGCGGTAACTAGTAACTATAATTAATTACTTTTTCAAAGTAACAACGCTGCTGATGACACCACCATTATCGGTCTGATCCAGAATGACGATGCATCTGAGCGGAGGTGGATCAGCTGGTCCACTGGTACAGACTGTGGAGATGCCAGTGGACTGTGGAGAAACTACCCGATGCTCCGCCCTCTCGCCATCCTCAACAACAGTCTGCATGTGAGGACCACTTCACATCACAAAAAGGTGGATCCTAAGGAATCTGAAGTGATCCACCATGTGCAGAACAAGGCCCAGATGAGGTTCTTCCTGTGACAGCTGTGAAAGTTCCACAGGAGCTGCTGCCATCACCCGCTCTGTGTTGTGCACATGGATGAGTGTCTCAGCTACGTCACTCTGATAAACACTCTGAAGTAACCACTGATATATCATTAGCACACTGCACAATTATAGTTATTTTATTTATATAAGTTGCCAGAAAAATAACTACTCGAGTACAGTAACAAAGTATTTGTACTTCATTACCTCCCACCTCTGAGTATAGCCAGCTGCTCCTCAGGAGAAATGAGTGGCAGCTCAGTCAGCTTATTTTAAACCATTTCCCAAGTCCATGTACTTCTGTTAGTCTATAAACCATCATCATATATAACGTGTTGGCCTGCTTAGTAACAGTTGAGATTGTGTTTCTCAGCCATGTCTTAAACTCGTCGCACCTTCTGCAGCTACACACTCAGCCTCGCTCCAGCTGACAGTGAAGGCTGTTTGGAACAAACCCGCTGACTCAGGGACCCGAACCTTTACCCTTCACTACAAATGCTTTATACATAGCTACTGGGGAAGAACCAGTGGGTAGGTTGGAGTGATATGGGTGGGGGCACTCCCCAACGTCCCAGTACAGCATTTGTAATTTAATGGACCCATCGAAACCACTAGAAAGAGACTCTGATCCTTTATTGACACACGCTGTAGAGATGAAGGGGTTAAAGGATTCACCTTCCCTTTGGCTCATTCAAACTGTCTCAATTGTTGCCAAGGCAACACTTTTGGTTGTTTGAAGGCAATTGGTCTGCTCATTTTCTAAATGTGCCACTAATTAACCATGAATGTTGTGATGTTTACGGAACTTTTATTTTGAAAGGTCGAATGTAAGGCGGAAGGGGGTTATAAAAAAAGGAGACAACAGAAAACGGTAGATGAACAAGTTAGCGCTGCAGACTGTGTTGCCGCTGCAAGCCTGCGAATTAAAGAATGGTACTAAGAAATACTGAAGGTGTCATCATTAATGTTTGAGGCATGCAAACATTACAGATGTGTTCTGCTTTGGGTCTTGAAGAGTCATTGTCTGAACTATGAATCACCTGCATGTCACAAAACTGAGACTAGATTTTTAGTAACAGAGCCTCACTACAATTCACTGCTACAACTACACACCAATCACAGCACTGCAAACCACACGCAGGCCACTTTACCCTTGTTAAGGAATATATATATTTTCTTAGTGCTTATTTTCTGATTATTTTGTTTATGCATTTTAATAACAGGCCAGCTTTGACTCACAAACCAGTTGCTCAGCCAGACTGGAGCTGTGCAGAGCTGCAGAGGCGGTATATTAAGAACAGGAAACAGATGCAGACAGAAGAAGTGGAACTGGGCAGAGGGTAGCGCACGTAATCACTCCACCAGCAACACACACATCAAGTAAGGCCAGAGGTAAAGAAGTTGTTTTGATCGAAACTGTGTGCGACGTGCGAGTGCCAAAATAACAGACTATGATGTACGCATCCGGCTTAATGCTCCAGACCTGCCGATGCTTAGCAGCGTGCACATCCCCTTTCCGGAAAGTAATGATTGAATAAAATGATTATAAATACTTTGACCACTCTGCGTCTTCTCTGTCCAGGAGAAGAATAAAAAGAACTGGGTTCGATACCCTTCACTACACTGTGAAACTTTGTTGTTAGATTCAGAGCAAATAAACAACTTTTCCCACAACCATGTTTAGTCAGGCTTGAAGCAGAGACAAAGAGGGTGACAGCACAGCACAGGTTGTTAAAAAAGAGCAAACGCAGGGGTCATTACCTCCATCCCAAGTAAAGAGGCTTGTCATCCTTCATCCAGGCCACACTGGCAGGAAGGCTGGGGTCAGATGTCACCCTACACGTGAAGCGAGCCGTGGAGCCCCTGATGGCTGACTGGTGCTCGGGGGCCTGAATGATGCGAGTCGGCTCTGAGTCACAGTTAAGATGAAGAGCAATGCACTACATGAACATTTTAGACGCATCCAATAACACAAGTGGTAGATAATACTGTGTGGAGCTGCATGGTCAGGTGCCACAGTCTCATCCAAAACAAGACCAATTTACTCTTTCCATCTCTGTTCAATATGAGATAAGCTGCAAAGATTTAAAGAAAATGTGCAAGAAAATTGAATCATGGAGACTGTATTTGCATAACAATGCAATCCCTTTGTGTAAAGATCCACAGTACAGTTAGCAGGCAAAACAAGTAGACAAAGTCAGGTGCATCCCACCAGCCTCTGCCCTTCTCCTCTGGTGTAACATGTGACGCAGACAGGACTACAAACAGCTTCAGCAGTCTTACTAATGCACCCTGACATGTAAGGTGAGCTGTTATTTCCATCGTTGGCTCACTGCAGACAGGCTTGGATAAAACAAGTTGAAACAAATGTTGATTTAAGATGTTCTGCATGTTCACGCTCTCGTTGTCACTCTGTCACAGTTTAACGTTTAATGAAAGGTAGAGAGTGCAGGCTGCTTGACACAGTGACAGGAAGTCATTCAGAACAGGCACAGACCTGCTCAAGCAGATCTCATGTCATTCATGAATTCACTTTTCATTTTTAACATCTAACCTTTGACCTCCAGGCGCACTTGGTTTTCAGCTTTTCCCAAGATGCTGCTGGCCACACAGGTGTAGGTTCCCTCGTCCTCTGCTCGGGCCCGCTTTATCTCCAGGGTACCATTAATGTAAACACGGTACTGGCCTCCATCCAGCCCGCTGCCCTGTCCATTCTTAAACCTACACATAATAAAAACACATGGTTAACAGCTGGAGATACTGCCGCTGACTCTGGCTGTCAAAGACCAAGAAGCTTTAGATGCTCACCAGCGTAGCTCCGGTAAAGGCGAACCAAAAAAGGGGCAGTCTAGGAAGGTGCGGTTGTTCTTAATGACTTTTATTAGCTGGTTTTTGGGGCCCAGCATCCTCGGGGGCAGGTCTACAGGAAAAAGGATTACAGTACATCTTCACCAGGCTTCATCCCTTACACACGCTTACAAGCATTTAATCAAACAGACACGATTATGGTTATTTTAGAAAACTCCTTTTTACAGCAGGTTCCTGTGTGAACTAACACTGTGCCTGCAGTGTATAACAAGGTATCCATAAACCAACAACCATCACGCTTCAAGCATAAGTCCAGTGTGGAAGTTAGCTGGCTCCTTCTCAGCAAGCACTCATTCCTATAACTCTCAGTATGTTTATAGTACCAGCTAAAGCTGGCAGAAGATTAGAGAGATGTAACTGATCATGTTGTTCTTGTTATCTTTAGACCAAATGTCAGTGATTTCATGCTGTCTCTCAGAATCAGAACACTTCATTAATCCCTGAGGCACACATGGGCTACAGCAGGCTGCATGCTGGTTGATGCATGCACACCAACCCTTCCAACCATACATACATTGCACAAACATCACATTGGGAAGACAGGTCACAGAGGTAGGCTGACAATAATACATGTGTTACTTTGTAATACATCTTTTCATTGCAAGATTTAAATATTTTTTGCAATAATTAGGTAATCTATCATGACTCATTTTTCTTGCTATGTCAAGATAAAAAGTGCAGGAGGAAATGGGCTCGTGAGGAGTCATTAGGAGCAACATTTAAACTTCCTCAATAATATGTGTGAGTATATTTCACCTTTTTCCAAGATGCAAATAAAAGTAGCAGCTACTGACTATCAGTGGTACTTTATGGTGAATGAGAACATTGGCATCCAGTCGAGGTGGAGACTATGACTCTTACCCCAAACCAGATAAAGGTGAAGAGTAAGACTGTCTGTGTGCTGGCAAACTAAACTAAGGACTCGATCAACAGGGGTCACCACATCTCTAGGTAACTTCTAAGGTTACATGCGTGTGTGTGTGTGTGTGTGTGTGTCTGTGTGTGTGTGTGTCTGTGTGTGTCTGTGTGTGTGTGTGTGTGTGTGTGTTAGGGGGAGATGTCTCACTCCCCATCACGTGGTTATATATTCAGTGGAAGATCTCAGCAGAGGCATAATACTGCTGCTCTCCCCTGTCTGAGCCCATCTGTGATATGTAGACAGGACATCAGCAGGACAGGGTATTAGCACTGGAATAATGTGCAG